AAAAAAAAAAAAAAAAAGACTGAGCAGAGAAATCAGTAGTTACACGCGCCACAGGCCAAACTCAGATGTTGGACTTAAAGATGAGGCCTTTAAAGCAACTTTTATAAACATATTCAAAGAGCTAAAGGAAACCACATTTAAAAGATTAAAGGAAAGTATGATGACTATGATTAAACAAATAGAGAATTTCAACCAATAAATTATTTTTTAAAAAGAACCAATTGGAAGTTCTAGATTTGAAAAGTTCAATGACTGAAAAGAAAAAAATCATCAGAGTGGCTCAACAGTAGGTTGAGATGGTGGGACATAGATGGATAGTTATCCTACCTACATAACAGAAAAAGACACTTTTGAGGAGTCCTGGTCAGGTATTTTTGTAGAATGTCCCACAGTTTGGGTTTATCTGATGTTTTCTCATTTTAAACTGAAGTTACAGATTTAAGTTACTGCAGAGATGAAGTGCTTTTCTCATTACAGGGTACATGATATCAGCATGACTTATTACTGCCCGTGATGTTGCAATTGATCACTTGGTTTAAATGCCGGCTTTTTTCACTGCAACGTTACACTTTTCTCTTTCCATACTCTGTTAGAAGCAAATCATTAAGCCCACACTCACGGAAGGAGGGAATTAAGCTCCACCTCCTAGAAGGAAAAGCATCAGAGAATTTGTGGACATAGGTTAATCACCACAGTAATTAATAAATATTTGCGGGGAGGTGATACTTTGAGGCTATGCATTTATTCAGATGTTTTATTTCTTCTCAAGTTAGTTTTGGTAATTTGTGTCTTTCTAGAAATTTGTGCATTTTATCCAAGCTTCTTAATTGTTGCTCGTAATATCTTCTTATAATTAATTTAACTTTTATAGGGTCAGTAGTCACTTCTCTGCTTTGATTCTTCATTTTGGTAGTCATGTAAATTTACTAAAAATCATTGAATTGTGCACTTATAATTTACATACCATGAAATTCATCTATTCTGTCTTGATAAAGTGCTAAAAAAATAAGCAAAAAGAAAAGGAGAAAGTCAACTGTATATTAGTAACTCCTTAATTTTTATCTCCAAGCCTCCTGCCTGAACTCGAGACTATGTATTCGCATCCACTTGGATATCTAATAGGCATCTTCAGCTTAACATGTCAAAAACACTCCCAATTTCTCCTCCTCTCCAAATCTATACCTACTGAGTTCCAGTATATGAATCACTGTTTTTTCATATACTCAGACCAAAAATTTGGGGTTATTTCTCTATGACTCTCATCCTCTCACACCCCACACCCAAGTGGACATCTGCAAATCCTGTGAGCTCCATCCTTCAAAATATATCCCACATCCAGCCACTTCCACTGGCCGTGCAGCTGCAACTTTAGTCTAGGCCGCCATCTTCTTCACCCAAATTAGCATAGTAGCCTCCTCACCAGCCTTCCTCCTTCCTCCGCAGCTGCCCTCCTCTACCCGCATCTCCACGTAACAGCCAGAGCCTTACAATCTGAAGTAGTCAGATCTATCACTCTGCTCAGACACCTCCTCTGGCTTCCCTTCTCACTCAGTAAAAACCAGAGACCCCATCTATTTGGGTAGATCCCAAAGCTGGCTTTCAAAATCTTTGGTGAGCATGAATAATACTAACCTGTGTTCTATTGTTATAAGATCAGGGACTCAAAAGGCACAGAAGAGAGTGGGACCCTGCCTGGCCTTAGGGTTCATACGCAATGGGAAGGTTTAGTTTTGGCAACATTTACCTTCCCTTTGGTTTCCTGAAGTCCTTTTCTCATAATTCCTACTGCCCACAATTCTTTTGCAGCTCTAAGGGTCCTTCACCCAGGCCTGCCTCTCCAGGTTCCCTATTTTCCTGTTCCTTTTAAGTTGTTCATTTCTGCTGTTTTAATGAAAAAGATAAAAAGAAACCAATCTTTTTTTTGTACTTTGCCTATTTGGGTTATTTCCACTTCCATTCCCTGAATGCCTATAACCATCCATGAAGCATTTATTATTATATAAGAGGATGCTTGTCAATCCTCACAAGGGTAGAACTGATGGCTATTTAGGCTGTGAAATGAAATAAAAATGAAATAAAAATGTTGAGGTATTGTGAGAGGAGATATTTCTGGATCACGGAAGGGGTGGGGGTGGGCTCTACCATAAAGGAGCCATAGAAGATAGAGATTTTACCAGAATAATTACCTGCATGGGCTCTGAGCTGAGATGGTCTGAATTCAAATCCTAGCTCTACTATTTTTAGTAGCTGTGTGATCTAGAGCGAGTTACTTAACTTCTCTGACTCTTGATTTACTCCTTTATAAAACAGGGCTAAAATAGCCTAAGTTCATAATGATGTTGTAAGGTAATGCACGTAAAGCATTTAGCTTGTTGTCAAGCATGTAGAAAGGGCTCCCTGATGGAAGCTACTTGTACTCTAAAATAAAAAGGAAATTCTCAAGTGTTTTCACCCTAGCACCCATTGGGGAGGAGATGAGAGCCAAGATATCCGCACCTCGTGTATGTGCACCTTCTGTAAGTCAGAAGGCTGTTCCTTGGGGGCCGCCCATGGAGATGTCTTTCCTCACTGAGTTTCCTTTTCATCTTCTAGAAGAGGCTATAACCACGAATGAGGTTATAAACCAGTTACTGCACCACGTTGGTGCGATGTGCATACACCAACTCAATCTTCTTGCTACCAACCCAAACCTTCCCATCACAAGTGTCTTGGGCAAGCAGCACCCAATCGAAGCACACCATCTTAGCAGTATCTGTGACATTATGGAGAAGGCCATGGTTAACGGGGACACCTGTATTATCCGCTGCATTCTCGTTGTCTTTCAGGTAAGCACACTTTGGAGATAAATAAGATAATAGAGAAAAAAGAAACAGCAGCCTTGGCTTCAACCAGCTGATTTCTACCAGAAGAAAAATTTAATAACGTTCATGTCTTGCATCTCACCACGTTCTAATCCTGTAATTAGAATTATTATCACACTCATTGCACGGCAGTTAATGGAGTATCGCCATATGTAGCTCATTGCAATTAATACATGTGAAATATTTACTATAATTATACCATTACACAATAGAAGAGATTGTGGTTAAAATTTCAGCTAGGCATCTATTCATAAGAATATCTACCATGTATGTTCGGAGGGATAATTTTATCCCCTGTAGGATTAGTGTTCTTAGATATGCCCCTTATGTTTCTGTAGGTGGTGTTTAAATTTTTCTTCAGCCCACAAACCGAAAGGAATCGAGACATCATTCGACGATCGGGATTGCTTCTTTGGCAGTTGTTGATGGCACCAAAAGATCACATTTGCCCTGAAATTCAGAAGGAAGTCTGCCTTGCCATCAGGTAAGCAGCAAATGACTCTTTAGTGCTCTCTGCAAAATGCTTCTGTGCACTGCGTTGCCATCTTCTGGGCCAGCTGGTAGCATCCATGTCTCTGACCCCGTCCCAGCCAGGACCTCACGCTTAGAGGGTGCTTTAATGGGGCAGGGGTTTGTGGCCCCACTCCCAGAGGACCCAAGGCATCCGTTTACTCATTTCCTCATCTCACCGTTTGGATCTTAAAAAAACAAAAGGAAAATACGCTTGATGTGGACATTTTGATGGTTTGCAAGCAGATGTTTATGTCATTTGGGGGAGAGTGTGGCAAGGTGGTTAAGAAGCAAGCTGACCTTGGCAGCAGGCAGACCTGGGTGCGAGTCTTTGCTCTGCCACTGACTAGCCGTGACCTTGATTTGAGGCTTCCATCTCCTCAGCTAGAAATGGGCTTAAAAATTGTACCCGCGTAGGTTTGTGAGATTTTATTATGATAAGGCTCTGACGCAAAGTAAGTGCTCAACAATGTTAGCCTTTTAATTTTAAAATCTGCTTAAAGCCTTGTTAGATAAGACGGAAGAATTTATGGGCTCTTTTCTATTGTTATGTAATCTATCCATATATATTTTTTGAGTGCGATGAACTTGTATCAAGGAATATAGCCTTCATGTGACCAAGTATAATTTAGTGACCAAGAGAGAACTGAGTGCTTGGTTTGGAAGCGCTGTAGGACAGGGGCGAGCCGAGAGGAGGGTGATTTTTTTCCCCTTTCATAATAGATTACACTTTGGATCTCTTTCTGTTGAGAGTACTAAGACAAAAAATTAAAATCTAGTGCCATGGGGAACCTCCTGGGTATGTTCACTGTCTTGATTGTGGTGATGCTTTCATGGGTGTACACATATATCACAACTTATCAAATTGTACACTTTAAATATGGGCACTTTATTGTATGTTAAATCATAAAACAAGAAAAAGAAAAGAAATCTGGTGCCATTTGCAATACGGTTCTTTCTGTCCTTTTGGAAGAGCTGAGAATTAGAAAGTCCCCCTTTCAGGGCGGCCGGTTAGCTCAGGTGGTTAGAGCGCAGGCTTATAGCACCAAGGTTGCTGGTTCAATCCCCACGTGGGCCACTGAGTTGCGCCCTCCACAACTAGATTGAAACAACTACTTGACTTGGAGCTGATGGGTCCTGGAAAAAAACACTTTTCCCCAATAAAATAAAATAATTTTTTTTAAGAAGTCCCCCTTTCAAATGATTTTTGGGGCACAATCTGCATATATGCCTAGCTTGACTCCACTGACTTTTATGGCTTCATTCTCCTTAGTCAATTCTGCAGGGGACCTCAGGTAAATTATGTTGGTAATTCACAGATAGGAGAGGGAAACTGTCAGGGAGGTGATTGGACTCTGATGACAGTGGATTCAGGTTCAACTGCTTTTTTAGTGATGAAACTTACCTCCGAGTTTTATGTAACCAAAGTGGCCTCTAATAAAATTTTAAATAAAGTTTCTGTTTTCTAGAATGTTTGTTTAAAAGCTTATTTGACTTTTCTGTCATTTCAGCTCTGGTTTAAATATCTTGTACCCAGGTGAAACTGAAATCAATAACTTACTTAAGCTGGTCTTAACAGAAGGTGAGAATTATCCTTGAATTATCCTTGAACTACCATTCTTTTTCTGTCCCTAAGGTAACAACTAGGTATTAAGATAATAGATTTTTTTTCTTCATATCTATTAATTAGCCTTAATTTAAAAAACGTATCTGCACATATGCCAATATTTCAACCAGATTGAAAGCAGGGACCGTGTTTTATGTATCTTCAAGCTTTGTGAACCTTTCTATTTCCACTGCCCAGTGTCATATACCTGACTGGAGAGGTTTAATGAATGTTAAAGATAAAACTTCTTTGGGAATTCTATGCTGGCTTATTAAAATGCAACTTTTAAAGTTAGACTAAACAACAATACCAAAACCACCATGTCAAAGACACTGCATGTATAAGCAGCATCAAGGAGTTAGAAATCACACTTGGTGATATGTCAGGGGAGTAACTACAGGTAAATCAGGACGCACTGGTTAAAAAAAGTCAGGTGGGTTGTGATGTACGTAGTTCCTGCTGCCATTTCTTGTGTAAGTACAGACGCCCGGTGCCCCTAGGTTGCCGACAGCCTGATTGTTTAAAGTATTTTTTTTTTCATAGCATCAGTTTTCTGAGTGTCATTACCAGGGTAGTTGACGGAGCTTTGTTCTGTGTTAGGAGAGAGAAACAGTGGCCTCGCCCAACTGCGGGACGTGATTCTCACCAACTTAGCTGAGCAGCTTCAGAACAACCGGTTTGGCAGCGAGGATGATGACCACTACAGGTGACGCCAGTTATCTTAGTCACTGCTAGCGTTTTCTTTGTGTTTTGTTCAGTCATCAGTTTACATTGAAACGTGTCTGATCAATTTTAGTCGCCCGTAATATCTAATATAAATAGCATGTCAAGTCTGAACTGCAGATCATTTGAAAGATGATAAATCCCACTGTTGCCCTAAGAAATGATACAAGCATGGTTCAGTTTTATCAGTAAAGCCACTTGGGCCTGGAGAAAGCGTGCTTTGCAGAAATAATGAATGGAGCTTGTTTAAGAAATCTTGGTGGCGGGTGTCACCCCAATTGCTGGTCTGTGAGAAAGGGTGAGGGTGCTTAGAGCTCGGCGGGGAGAAAGGTGTTGGTTTCTTTGCTGTTTATAAACTGCTTGGCCTAGGTGCTTAGGCACCGTTTCGTTTCTATAAGTTTGATTTAGATAGTACACCTGGTTGTTAGCATCATTGCTGAGTAAGATGATTGACGTACAGAAGCATTTAATTTTGTATCTTTGTCATCTTGTACCAGTTGTATAAAATGTATCTTTTTATTACTAAACCATCCATATCTCATTGTTACGTTTTTCCTGCATTTAAAGACTAAATGATGAACTTTTACACTACATTCTGAAGATCGTTGTACGAGAATCCTGTATCTTAATCACCAAGTGCCAAACTGTCTCTAAAGATGATTTTCAAAAACTCCTTTCAACTGTGCCTGTAAGTAAAAAATGTGTTTCGTGAAAGCAAAATTGTATACAGTGTTCCTGTTTTCATTTTACTGTGTGGAGGTGTATGTTTGTTTAAAACATACTTACGCACCCACTTTACAAGGATAGTCTTAATTGATGAAGGTCCATGGATGACTGTGCTTGTCCTAGAAATGTAAACCTAGACAAATCCACTAGAAATACTTCCTCTAAAGACTACTCCTCCTGCTTTACATGTTGTGTTGCAATAAATTATTTGATTGAATTTGGATATTTTTGTTTTGTTTAAAATAGTGAGGATTTCTTCCCGTTTTGATTTTAAATTCAGCGTTGTTTTCTATCTAAACTATCAGTGTTTTACACAGACTGATAAGAACCAAAAAATTCTTTTAAGGGTCTGGGTAGAGTCTTCTCTCATGGAGACACGTGTGAGGGGAAGGAGGGTGGGAAAGAAGAATTTGTAAGAGGCAAAAATTCAAGTAAGTATCTGAGTGATCAATGAGAATTCCATAGTAGAAGGCAGAAAGTTATGGTCAATGTGTCAAATTATGTATCAAAGGCTTAGAAATAAGTCACCTGAGAAACTAACTTGGTCTGTTTTCTGTACTTTCTCTTTTGCTTCCCTTGTTGAAATCTTTTAAAAACATGAGGATTACATGATCCCTTCTTTCAGTAGGATCTAGGTCATTTAAATGCCCTTATTTGTATTAAAGGCTGCATCCTCCTGCCTGCGCTATCTGATGGCAGTTCAGAACCACCTTCTCAGTAACACTATTTTGATTAAACCTGATGAGAATGATGACAGTGACAACTCCTTGCAGGGAGAGACATTGAAGGTACAGGTAATCACCAAGCTTTATTCTAACGATGCTTTCTACCTAGTGTGTAAAGCACAGTTTAGGTGGCTAAATTCCTGTGTATTATGATGTCAGATTTCACCTTGTGGCTTATATTTTTGTGAGAGGTAATATTAGGTCGCTCATTTCATAGAGTTTTATGTCATTGCACAGTAGTTACCATATTTGTGACACTCTCATAACGTGTCATCCATGTGCTCCTGTCAATCTTTTTGTGCCTTTGTTTATTTTCATCTTTTTTCAAGAACTATAAAATATGGCACTTACAAGTGATCTCATACACACCTGAAAGTTTTATTTATATATAAATATGTAAATAAACCCAGGAGCATAACATTTTAACCAATTTTGACATTTTGGCTGGTTTATTATAGTGTCTTGATTCAAGTAAGTTTAAAAAGGTGATAATTTTCTTGGAATTATCTCACAATTATTTATATTGACCAATTTATTTTATAAACCTAGAATTCATTTCATTTTCTATAATTACTATTCAGTTAGCTTCTGTGTGAACTCAGTTTGTTCCCACATGGCAATTTATAGCCATCAAAGACTTTTTTATAGCAGTGGCCATTATCATTTTGATGGATGCTAGAGGCTGTTTGCATTGTTCCTCAGAAATTCATCTTTGTGGGAGAATTAAAGAAGTCAATAAATGATTCTTCCTAAAATGTCAACTAAAATGCACTGAAAAATTAACCAAGGAAGCCATAATTAAAGATAAAAGCCATAGAGTTTATCCTTTTCTTTCTCCTTTATGCATGTAATCATACACCTGCTAGCTCATGTTTATGAGTTTACCTCATTATGTAATCAGTTTTTAAACAGGCAGAAAGGTGTGAATTAATCATTTAAATTGCCGATACTATTTATTACCTTCTCTTGCCTTAGTTTCCTAATCAGTAAAAAGGGACAATAATAACATCTGTATTGTAGGCGGGTGTGAGGATTAGAGACGAGGCTCTGAGACACCTGGCCCACTGCTGACCCCCCACCCCCACCCCCCGCCGTGTGCAGTCAGTAGCTGATGAGTCATGTGATCACTGCGACCGAAACTATGATTTGTCTGCTCAGCTCAGAATCCTTTTCTCTTAATGATCAAAATACCTTGATTCCCCCACAAAACACTTTGATACCAAAAATAAGACCCCAGAAAATTCCCGCAATGAAAACCAGTGTTCTCTGTTTGAAAGGCTACATTTTATAAATTCTTAATTAACCCATGGAAACAAATACTCTTGGTGAAGGCAGACTAGGCAGTGTTGTCTAGTATTTCTTGGGGGGAGGGGGGGGGGACAAAAAACACAGATCTCATCTAAACAGTTAGTTTGTATTTTTTAATAGAAAATAATCGTAAACTAAACATTTCTATGATCTTAACTAGTGTTTCTGAACACATTATTTAGTATTTGTCTCCCACAAACTCTCTAATAGTTATTTTTAATGTTTAATAGTCTATAACTGCCTGCGACTTTAATTGAATTTTTTTAACGTGCTTACTTTCAAGTGTAATGGCTTAAAACCTTAAGTAAAAAGGTCACTTGTACTGTTTCAGAATGTTGTGTTTTTGTCTCATTTTATTCACCGCCTATACACGCGCCTTTTACTGTTCTGTTTTTCTCTTTAGCTATCCTCATACCACTCAAGGCAAGCGTCCACCTGGGCAGTTTCTGGGCTGGCCACCGGAAGCTCTCTTGTGCTGGAGGGGATGGGAGAAATGGCTTTTCTCCTGGGGACTCGGTGTGCTCCCCGGGAAATACTGCGTATTTCTGTCAGCACTCCCGACCTTAGCCTCCCAAATCAAACTGCTTCTTGCCATCCTAGCGGACCTTACTGCTTTGGGCTTCTTCTGGCCACCTCATTATTTAATTTGGAAATGCATCATAAAAGACGCCATTTCATGTTGTCATTGTGAGCGTATATTCGTCACAAAGCTTAAAAATAACATTATGATATTTTCTACCTAGGAACTAAAGGTCAGTATTTTGGCTCTTGCCACCCAGATCCTGACTGGATGCGATGAAGTGCTGGAAATGCTACAGCAGGTCACAACTGCCCTCATAAATAGTGACATAGCTGACCGTGAGCAGAGGTGAGGAAATGGGTTGAGAACTGGGACCTGCTGCCCTCCAGGAAGAAGGGTTTGTTTACAAAAGCAGAATCTCTTAGAACAGAGCGTCAGTGGTTCGCTTCATACAGAGGGAGTGTTGTGAGAATAGGTTGAAACGGCAAGTGTTTCAAAACCAAGTGCAATTGAACTCTTTAATGGTGCTTTTAAGTGCGATTGGGCTCACAGCCATCATCTCAGGGCAGCAGGGTTGTGGGGGGCAGCACTGCCTCTGACCTTTGGGCCTTCACCATCATTACGCCTAAACCGGCCTTTCCTTCAGGTATCTAGCTCAGCACCGTGTGCACTTAGTGACTCATGATAAGTACCTCAGGGAAGGAAAAATGGCTGAGTGACACGGAATATTAACTACGATGCACAAGTTGACACTGACATGATACCTCAAGATTTTACTGTAATTTTACTTCTTCAGATACCGGAGTGACCTATATAGAGGGTAAACTTCTCATTCCTAGTCATAAGGCTCTTTCTCAGCTCCCCCCATTAAAATTCCTGCTGTGGTTTGCTGTTAGAGACGACTGCCATGCTCTATGTGTTAACGATTTTGATGTTAGAGCTGCCGATCTAGAACAATCCTGCAGAGTTAACTTTTCCTCCAGTGACCCTAGCTGTCCCCATGTCCCCATCTCTTGGCCACTCCCAGAGAGTAGGTGGGAACTGAGAACAATGTAATCCAGATAGGCGTCAAATTTGGGCTTGTCCAGGCAGGTAGGGTCCACTGCTGGCCCGTGGTACAGTCTGAGAGCCTGGGAGGCGTCAGCTCTGCTCCTGGCTCCAACCCCAGTCTCCTAGGTCGTCTTAGAGAATATACATAACCCACATCTTTCTTCTAGCATATATATCTTCTAGTCACATATATCTTCTAGCAGATTAGGATATTGGGTAATCATCTCACAATATGTAGATATATCAAATCATTATGTTCAGCTTAAATTTATACAATGTTACATGTCAATTAGATCTTAGTAAAACCGGGTGGGGAAAAGAATGTGGCCTGAAAGACAAATTAAAAACCTGCGTGCCACTGTGCCTGCTGTGAGCCAGTTTCTCTAGGCCAGAAGCAGGTAGCCCGGCCGTGGGCAGGCGACTTGGGGTTGAAGCTCTTCATTTTCTCGCTGTCACGAGACTCAGGCAGCACAGTCAGAGCCAAGTTCCCAGAGCCAAGGAACTTTGCAGGTGGTAACTACCTAGAGTGGCCTTTGGCATCTTAGGACCCATATAAAGGTGCCATGAAATGCACCATGTAAACTTTGTTTTGGCAAAAATCATGGGTTGAAAGTGAAACCTATGACAGATTTCTGTTATCTCCCTCAGTGGTAGAAGGTGGGACATTTGTGGACTGAATTGCTGGAACCATAGTGCTTAGCTAGTTCAAGGAAATGCGGGTTGAGAGAATTTGTCAGGTAAGGTGATGTCAGTTGCTTCTTTGTATGATTGGGAATTGCTTAAGCTGTGTGTTTTCTTGAACTTTTTGTAGGTTAAAAGGCTTGGAACAAGTTACTAAGGCTACTATGCTTGGTCACCTTCTTCCAGTGTTACTGACCTCCCTGATGCATCCAAATTTGCAGACTCTGACCATGGCCGATGCCCTGATGCCTCAGCTAGTACAGCTGGTTCTCTATACCAGTCAGGTATGACCCCTGGTGTGCCAAAGCCAACTGCCCTTCTGCCAACCCCTTCTCATGGCGGCCATGGGCATTCACTGATGGCAGATTACATATAACCATGTCTTTCAGAAGCCAAGGGAAATAGTGATGGGATGAAGAAAACTATCATGTCTTAAAAATAAACTGAAATAGGGCCGGCCGAGTGGCTCGTTGGTTAAGAGTTGGCTTAAGAGTGCAAGCTCTGAGCCACAGGGCCGCTGGTTCAATTCCCACATGGGCCAGTGACGCTGCGCTCGAGCTCAGCTGTCACTGAGTTGCCAATAGGTTGGCAGGATGGCTCAGCTGGTGTAACAACAAGATTGTCTGTTCGATGGTGGGCTATACCTACCCGCAACTAAGACTGAACTCAGCATCTTGAGCTGAGCTGCCGCCCGGATGGCTCAGTGGATAGAGCATGAGCTCTTAACAACAAAGCTGCCGGGTTCGACTCCCATGTGGGATGGTGGCGATGCCCACCTGCAACTAAGACTCATCTCGGCACCTTGAGCTGAGCTGTCACCAGATGGCTCAGTGGACAGAGCATGCACTCTTAACAACAAGGCTGCTGGTTCGATTCCCGCATGGGATGGTGGCTACACCCACCCACAACTAAGATCAAATACAGCACCTTGAGCTTAGAGGCCATGAGCTGCTGACGGGCAGCCAGATGGCGACTGGCGCCCTCCACAACGAAGACTGAAGAACAACAACTTGTCTGGTCCCATCCCCCAATTCCCCAATAAAAAAATCTAAAAGAATAAAAATAAACTGAAATAGTAAGGGAAAACATTTCATTTGTTTGACTAAATGACTACAGTGTTTTAGCAAGTGTTATTGCTGGTCAGCTGTAAACATGCTAACCTACAATGTTACCGAGATCCCCATATGATACTGAGCCTCCTGAGTCCTTGCTGGCTATGGGTAACCAATATAAATATGCTCCATTCTAATGTTAAATAAAGTGATGTTCAGTGGCCACAGTAGCAAAGCATTTCTTAGCGAAAGAGGACAAAAAGACAATTTAAGTGAGAATTCCAAGTGTGGCTCTGGTACCATCCAGATAACCGACAGTCAGCACTTTAGGGCGTGATGATGGTTTTGTGTTTCAGACGGCTTTGCTGCTTAAAACCCAGTGTCCCGTTTTTGCCGAGTTGGGCTGTTCCCCATGTGGTGCCTCAGACCAGAAGGGCAGGCTGGTCCCCGATGACAGGTGAGGATGCTGCTTGCTTGCAGGAACCCCCGCCTTGTTTTCTTCTGGTGAAAGCCGAGTGCACCTTCTACAAAATGATTTTTTAGCAAGGACTCTCTAACTGGAAAAAGGAGGAGAATTCAGAGTCAAGATTTTACAGATAATTGTAGAATTGCTTTGTAGAGTTACTATAGGAACAGGTTAGGATAAATTTCCCCACAGATCAAGAGAGCAGTTCAGAATGGACAAATTGCCCTATACTAATCATGGGGATGGAAAACATTGTGACTTTGGCCGACGTTTGACAGTTTCTTAAAAAGTCAACATACACCAACCATGTGACCCAGCTGTTTCACTTCTTGGTATTTACACAAGAGAAAAGAATGAATCGATCCTTCCAAAGAATTGTGCATGAAGGTCATATAGCTTTGGTTGGAATAGCCCCAAAACAAGAAGCAACCCAAATGCCCATCAACAGGGGAAGGAGGGATAAGCACATGACAGCACATCCATGTGATGGAATCCTGCTCAGCAACAATAACGAATAAACTATGGGTATTCAACAACATGGGTGAATCTTAGACTATGTAGCTGAGCGAAAGAAGCCAGATCCCTCCCAAAATACGTTTTACATACATAAAACTCTAACAAACACAAACTAATTTCTAGTGACGGAAAGAAAAGACATGCTCGCCTGGATTTCCAAGGAGGAGGAGACTTCACGGGGTATACAAATGCCCAAACTTACCAAGTTGTACACTTTACGTTGTGCAATTTATTCCATGTCACTTACATCTCACTAAAGCTGCCTTTCAAAGCACTGAGCAGGAAGGAAGGACTGTGGCTTTCTCTGGAGCAGTCTTGCTGTCCCAGGGAGCTTTGTGCAGCGATGAAAACTTGTATCTCTGTTGTCCAGGACTGTCAGCCACAGCCACGTGCTGTTACCAAGCACTTGCAGTGTAGCTAATGTGACCAAGAAATTCAATTTTAAACTGTCTTTAATTCTGATTCAATTTAAATGGCCACATTTGACCAAGTGGCTACCGTATTGGATAGCCCAGCTAAAGAGAGTAAGAGAATTCTACAACAGCTAAGTGCAGCATATAGGAGCTTGTATTCCACACCCGTGGGCCTGTGAAGTGTTTGAGAGTTCAATTACAGTAGATAAGAGGAACTTTGAAGGTACTTTCCTTTAGTAAAAATTACAGTAAAAAGTAGTGGTGTAGATTCATGGAGTTTTCCACAATTGACCTTTAGATATCAACAAAAGGAATCTTTATAGGACTCTAATCCTGTGGGGCTTGAAAAGTGGCCAGTCTTAAAGGTCCCTTACAGTATCTTTTTTTTCCTGAGTGACTTTAAATGAGAGTGGACCAGGTCCTCTCCTGGATGTGAATTGGGCTTCCCTCTTGAAATGGGGTAGAGTGGGGAGCGGGAATGCAAATATGTTGTGTAACAACAAAAAAGGAAAAAGAACCTTACATATAGGAATTTTTTCAATGTTTCTGATCGCCAGTGATACCAAGCGTTCGAAAGCCACACTGTGGTCACACTGCATGCGGTGGAAAACTAAAGCGTAATTTCTTAACCTTTTGTGTTTCACTGTGTACGTGTTTTCTTCTTCCTGTCTGTGCTGCCAAGCTCCATCACTTTCTTTGTGTCTGGTTTTAGAATGCTGGAAGAGAAGGAAGAGCCAGGCTTTCTCACTGGTTTGAAGATCCCTGCTCCCTGGGCTGCTGGGAAGACTGTGGAAACGGTCCACCCTGTCAGAGACAACTACAAATTTAAAGAAACTGTCCATATTCCGGGGGCTCGCTGCCTGTATCTTAGATTTGATAGCAGGTGCTCTTCACAATATGACTATGACAAAGTAAGCAAGACCTGCCTAATACTGGTTCCACCTTTGATAAACTGACTTCTTAGAGGCTTCTTATTTTTCTTTGCTTCTGGTCGCCATCCTTGACTTATTTCTGTCTGCAGACATCTCTTAGGAGAAGTTTCCTAAGATGATGATGATGCCTTGTAGGGTAGTGATTGGGGGGTCCAAAGCCGGCACCTCTGCAATCTACGGACAGTGTTTTAATGACATGTTGAAAGTGGGCTTTTGTAAGCTTTCAAAGTTTAGACCGAGTTGAAGGAAGTTTTCCTTTCCATTCTGCCTACCTCCTGCCTTCCCTCTGTGCTTGGAATTTCTGTAGATGTGTGTGTCCACTCATCTAGAAAGGCCTTACTGCCCAATTCTTGGCGCTTCTCATGTATCTTTTGGGAGAAGGTGGCCTTTAGAAGGGTTTTCAGGTATGTTAGGATCTGCTTATGTTTATTGAATTATTCTTTGCCCTTACCTCAGGGCCCACAGAGATTGATTGATTGATTGATTGATTGATTGATTGATTTTTATTGAGGAACAGCCATGGTCCTTGGTTACACATTGCTTTCATGCTGCAATGGCATAGTTGACTCTTTTAGAGAGGGCGCAGCTCACAGTGGCCCATGTGGGTATCGAACCAGCAACCTTGATATTATCATCACCACGCTGTAGCCAGCTGAGCTAACTAGTCACCCCCCACATAGATTTTTGAGGAAGTGTAGTTTCCAACCTGGCGACTGGACAATTATAAGTAGAAGGAAGCATTTTAGGGCTTGAAGTATTCTCTTCTGTTTATAATTGTTGCATTGTAAACCATCATGTTGAACTTACGAGGAAAGGCTAATGAAATTGTGATATGTAACATTTTAAAAAATCTGAAGGATTATCTAATAGCTTTGTATATACACAGGACTGTTTTTATATAGATTGTTAACTATCTATTATAGCTTTCCTGTGTGAACTGTGTAAGGGCAAATGGACTTAACTCCCACCAGGGGCGAGTTTTAGGTTATAAATAGAGGACTTCTTAACTGTGTATACTGTGAGATGGCAAAATACATTACCGGGCAAATTATAGGACCCTCTTCCCCATTATCTTTTAGGATAGTGAAGATTCCCAGATGTCCAGAGGGGTTTAAGACTTGCCCCCCAAAACTCACCTTAGCTGGAAGCAAGAGAATCTAGAAAATAGTCTTTGGTGGACTTTTCATAAATACATGTCCTGGCACGGTCTACCCCACTTCATAGCTCCTGACATCAGCTACCCCCATTTCCTAGATTCAGACGACCTATTTAAAACGGAAATGGAAGGGGTTGCCGTTTTAGTTAGTGTCATTCTGTTTCTCCTTTAAAAGCCAGCATTCGCATCTTCTGGTGTGTGCTAACCTACACCGCAGCAGACTGTTAAATGTGGAGGCACAGGGCCACTCACTGCAGGAACAGAAGTAAATTTACTTTGCCAGTGGTCCCTGGCTGGTGTCAGCAAAGGTCCAAAGGGGTAAGAAGTCACAGGATGTTAAGTGTCCAGGGCCAAAAGTGCAGCTTTGCGATCCCAGCCGATCTCTCTTACACAGTCAGAGGCCGTCAGAGCGCACCCTGGGAGACAGGGTTGGTTATTTACAGAAGCCAGAGCCTTATACTTCCTGTGAGAGGAGCTGGGTGCCAGAGGACCCCTAAATGCTCTTCCTGCACATGAGAAAGTCGGTTAATTGGATATTAAGGAATAGCCTTTATTGAAGAAAAGTATCGATACATGAAAACTGACCCAAGGAGAAACAGCCCCCTTTCTGGCCCAAATTTGTGTCATTTTCTTTTTATACCATTAAGCAATATCCTAAAACTATATGGCTTATTTTCAATTTGTTGCATTTTTAAAAATCCTCATTCATTGAGGTTTTTGTTTTGCTTTGGTTTTGTTGTTGTATTAGATATAACCATCTTTTCACCTGTATTTGCTCACATTATTAATTTTGGGGAGGATTTAAGGGGCAAACTGTATCTGTTATTAATGAGTTATATGTCATTAGGATTAAAATAGTATTTAAATATATATATAAAATAGTTGAGCATAACTATTTTAATGTGAGGTCCCCAAGTCAATTAAATTGTGATAATATTTATTATTCTGTGGCTGCCCTGGAAATACCAATGGCTGATTGCACCCAAACTAGAGTATTCATTGTATCTTAAAAAAAAAAATCAGGAGATATTAGTTATATTATAATGACACCAGTGACGGGTTATGAATGTATTTTTAAACACACATTTTCTGCAGCCTTTTTATTTGTAGATGTTGTTTTTGTTTTTCTTTTACAGTCTAACAGTCTATTTTCTGTTTTGAAGTTGGTGATATATGCGGGCCCTAACACAAACAGTAGGAAGGTTGCTGAGTATGGCGGCAATACACTGGGATATGGCAGCCGTAGTGTCTTAGGAACTGGCTGGCCGAAAGACTTGGTGAAGGTATGGTATCCGGTCCCATTTGCTTCCTAGAAAAGAAAAATGAACTTATATTCCTCATGGGTCCAAGTATTACCCAGAACTCCAGAAAGAGTTTGCCATGGGGGCTTTTGTTGAAGTGGGGTGGCCTGGCCAGGCCTGTAAAGTCACTGCTTCGTAGAAGGACCCTCCTTTCACTCGTGGGGCGTCCGACCCATGTCCATTGTAGCACTTGTGTCCATATCTACTCCATGGACTAAGGGCATCACAGCATTTCCTTCCCTGTCCGTTAAAAGGACTGCGAGTTCTTTCAGCTTACTTCTTCTCTCGACTCTGTTAGGATGGGTATCCTAGAACCACAGGGCCATTGAAGTTTAAAAATGTGGAATCAATATTTTCAAATGAACTTCGGCCTGTGGAGCAAAAATAATGATCCATTCTCAGACTGATGAAATTTGAGCCACACTTTGTCACCTGGGCCCTTGGACTACAACCTAGAATATGAGTATGAACTGAAATGCCCACTAACACCCCAAACCTCTCAAAAGCCTGTTCCCGGAGCCTTTATCTCACATGCATTATGTCGCATCTCTCATTCAGTTACAGACAGCAAATTACCTCCGGCAGGTGGGAATGGGTAGTCCGGATGCATCCAAAGCTGAGTCAGCACACTGTTAACTGTTTTGTGATCTCCTGCCTTTTGTTTCTTACTCATGGTGCTGGCTCTACAACACAGAGCAAGGTCTCCTAGCTCTCTCTGTGTTCTTCAGAGACTGGCCGTTTGCCTGCCTTATTGGCACACGTGAGGAGGTGAAGTAGAAAGAGGAGGAGGGGCAGAAAGAATAGAAATCTGAGGAATGTATTGCAATTATGCTCAAGATTTGAATCATCTTTACTCTGATTCTGTTATTGGGCCGTTGTGACCCATTTCACAGATGCCTTTGTCCCCAAAGCTCCCTGGTCAGGAGACTGACCTGAAAGGTTGGTGTCCAAATGGGATGGGATGGAATGTGAATTTAAAAAGCAAGCGAGAAAGGGAGTGAAATATTGATGGTCCTTTTGAAAGTAAATCTCTGAAATTCATTGCTCTCTTGAAAAGTGTGTGTCTTGTTTTTAAAGTGCATTTTCCCCCCCTTAAATTTTAAGGTGGAAGGAGATACAGTCACCTTCTCCTTTGAAATGAGAAGTGGCCGTGAACACAACACTCCTGATAAAGCTATGTGGGGCTTTGCTTGCACAGTTCGCGCTCAGGTACTTGAATCTAACTGCTGTGGACATAATGTCCATTCTCCTCTGTGCCTTGGTTACACAAATCATATTTGCCTTGGAAACAGGGCAAAATATGAGCTCCTGTTTCATCCATCTCTTCCATGTTGCAACAGTAGGCAACTAATTAGTCAGTAGTGGTGACTGTAAAATTAGCTGTTTTACAGTAGGAGTAAAATTAGCTGTGACCTCAAATCAGTTCAGCAGCACAGAGACCCCATTGCTAGGGCCTCTGTCTTCAAAGCCTGGACAGGTGATCTGCCTCCAGCATCTTTCCATAGGGCAGAGAAGGCTCGAACACCTAATAGAAGTAAGCACTTGGATTCGGGATTTTAAGAGTAGTAGGATCAGATGATTTTCATTCGGTTCCCAAAGGCTTTTCTTGCTAGTCTAGGTCTGTCGCTGATTAATTACTCATGTTATATGCTGTCTATAGGTTTAATCTACTCTTTTTAGCAGTGGCCAACAGTTTCTACACCCGCCCCCCAAATAAAATTATCTTCCCACTTGGAAAAAAAATGAGAGAGGGAGTAATAGGAGTTTACTTACCCCTCAAGTTGCCTGATTTGTAAAACATACGTTAAACTGGGAGGTTGCTTAAGTTTAAGCAAGTGAAGACTGTGTAGAGTGGAATTCTCTGCTAGAATGGAAGCTCCGTGAGGGCAGGGATCTTTGTTTTTCTCTCTGCTGTATCTCAGGCACCTGGAACAATGGTTGGTACAAAGTAGACACTCAGTATTTAATGAATGAATTCAGTGTAATCATTGACAACATCTTGGTGCGAGCACAGGATGGAGATGACAAAACAAAATAGTGATTTATACCCAGCGAGGCACAGCTGAGAGGAATACCCAAAGAATCGTGCTGTTTCTAATATGGAGTCTTATCGGCTCTTCTCTCTCCAGAACTGGTTGAAATTTCACTCTGTGGTCATTCCCGTGCCACCATCTATCTGCTCATGGTGCTGGGTGCTGTCCCTGTGCCCCATAGCCGTGATACCCAGTACTGCTCTGTGAGCCCCTATGGTTGGGGACAGTGTAGCATGGTGAGCGCAGGTGGAAGGGTCCCCGTGATCACTGACCAGTGTGGTTTGCCCCCGTCTGCATCGTAGGAGTCTTCGGAGGATGTGTCCGGAGGCCTGCCCTTTCTGGTCGACCTGGCGCTAGGCCTGTCTGTGTTGGCTTGTTCCATGTTAAGAATCCTGTATAACGGACCAGAAATCACCAAAGAAGAAGAAGCGTGTCAGGAGCTCTTGCGGTCCAAACTTTTACAAAGGTAACAAAAGGCTCAAACGGGGCTCCTTTTGCTCACAAAGGAAAAAGGAAATTATGTGGAGAACCACTTTTAGGACATTTCCCAGCTGACAGTGCTTCCTGCCTGACAATCCCATGGGTGTCATCGCGTCTAAGAAATAAAATGAAAATTACACCAAAGTGCCTTCTGGCCCATACCTGACTAAATTTGAAATTGCAGCCTTGATCTGCGCAAGCTTTTCTCCAGCCCAAATATTGTGTAATTAAATGTAAGGCTCCCCAAAAGGCTGGGCAGATGGGAGCTAAAGCAAACATAGCAAAATGTTTATTCTAGAATCTAGGGGATGGGTATATGGGTGTTCACCATGTAATTCTTTCAACTTTTCTATATATTTCTAAGTTTTCATAATAAATTGTTGGGGAGGAGGTAGATTCCCAAAGATGTGGTTTTGTATAACAAGCTCATTTTTCTTTAGCCTCTGGAGAAGTTTTGATAAATAGTAATACTTAACACATAATAGGAACCTTCATATGTTTGCTTTATCTGCCAACTTTAAGTGGCTTCCCAAACAGGAAATGAAGAACCTGTTTTCTGTCTGTTCAGGTGCCAGTGGCAGGTGGAGGCCAATGGCGTCATCTCCCCTGCCCTTACTCCAAGCCCGTCTCCACTGCCTCTGACCATCGAGGAAGACAGAGAATTCACCTACCCCTCTGACGTCCTCGTGCCTCCAATCGGAAGCTACTTTGACCTGCCCCGGATCAGGCTGCCTCCAGGAATCATGATAAAGCTCCGGGAAATTTCTGGGCGCGCTAGACCTCAGTTTAGACCAAGTATAAAGTATGTTGCTATGTAGCATTTTATTTTTGCCAATGGAAAAAAAAAATCTTTAAACAATTGAAAGGGGTGTATTTCTTCTCACAGTCTAACAACTGTGAGAAAAACTTAATTTTATGTTTGCATAATCACTGTTAACCAGGTGGTATCCAGGGCAGCTGGTCTCAACGTGTGGGCCTTCACTCAGCAGTGTTAGCTTCACCTGGGAACTTGCAAGGTCTTGGGCCCCATTTCTCACCTCCTGAATCAGAACCTCTAAGGATGGGGCCCAGAAATATGTGTTCTGACAATTTTTCCGTATGATTCTGATACATGCTGAAATTTGACAAGTTCTAGGTTTTACTTAGGTGGTCCGACCGTCTATTAGTAGTCATCAGCTGGTTTCCATAGAGTCTAGAGCAGCGGTTCTCAACCTTCCTAATGCCGCGACCCCTTAATACAGTTCCTCATGTTGTGGTGACCCCCAACCATAACATTATTTTCGTTGCTACTCTATAACTGTAATTTTGCTACTGTTACGAATCGTAATGTAAATATCTTTTTGTTTTCCGATGGTCTTAGGCGACCCCTGGGAAAGGGTCGTTCGACCCCCAAAGGGGTCGCAACCCACAGGTTGAGAACCACTGGTCTAGAGACATTTCTTTATTTTTGACGCCTAGAGAAATGGCGAGGGGTCTTTACTCTAGAACGTGAAGTCTTGCAGTTTCAAATGTCTTTGTGGTATTCTTGCTTAAAGTGAAGTCTATTTTTCAGGCCTCTGCTCTGCCTGCTGAGGCAAGATGAGCCATTTCAGAGGGAAAAATATAAATAGATGAAATTTAAAATGAAAAAATACAGAAAGAAGCACCATTGTTTTCAGCTCAACATCCATACGCATGAAATACCACAAATGTAAACTGCATGAAAATAATTGGCAGATAAATAGTGCCAAAGATGTTTTTTAGCCGTAGAACTCTGCCAGCTCTAATATGACTATAACTCAAAATATACAAGTCATGGAAAAGGAAGTGTCTTTAATTTTCAGTTTTATCAGCCAATGTTTGTTTTTATCAGTTAAATATATTATCAACTTGATATGAACACCATCATATAATGTTCATGCCTCTTTATTGTAATAAAGAAGGCATGGTGAATATTTAATGTATTTAAATCAAAGCCTGTGTTCTTTAACCTGTAAAATACAGTACTGGTAAGATGAGAGCATGGCATATACCTGACTAGTTTTCATTGTGACCACAGAGAAGTAATTCAGCCTGACGTGATGGAGGAAATGGTGGTATCATGTGTTATTAAGCACTTGAATTTGGTTGATGCACTGCAGTCCCTTATAAATTTCCAGTATCAAGAAGAACATGCTGAGGAATATGATTTATTGTGTAAAATCATGGGAGAGACCTTTAAGAAACTCAATGCCATGGAGAGACAGCTGCAGGTAAGTGAAAGCTATTCCATTGAGATTTCTCTTCTAACTGTTGGAAATCATTTCTTTCCTAGAAATTTAATGACGTCTCAAAGTGATCTGCATTTTAAAAAATTATCACTACTAAAAAGATTTCGGAATTTATAGATTGCACTTGTTTTTATTCTGCATCTATTATCACACTGTTTTACATTTTAATGTATCTGTTAGAGTGTTGCAGAATTGGAACAAAAATGGCAAAGTGAGGTTGATGAGGCCGTGCAGGGGAAACTGGAAAATAACATGCCTTTCTTCTATGATTACCATTTTAATGAGGTGAGCACGTTGTATGATTTCTCACTGGGGCGTTGCTATTTATGGTGCAAAGGTATATAAGCGTGTGTGTGTGTGTGTGTGTGTGTGTGTGTGTGTAGATAAAATGTCACTTCTTAACATGTTGCACACCCCAACATGTACCCATTCTTTAAAAGGGTTAAATAAAATGGATTAGGTCAACTTGTCAATAATACAATTAATCACTCATTAAGTTGTTTTTCAACTGATTAATAGTTTTATACAGAAGTTACCATTGTTATCAAATTTTACTTTGAAGCTTGAACAAACAAATAAGAGGCAGAGTCACAAGAACTGAAGAAACCCCCCAAAAGTGGTCAATGCCATCTTTAATCATTAAAATATCAAATAGTAACTTACAAATGTGCTTCTGGCATAGAAATGTGGACCAAAGGTGGTGTTTTTTTTCCCTGAAATTCCTTTTAACATGCACAGTAAAACTCAGTTTTTGCAGATCCTGCATACCATCTTTTCTTGATTTTTCCTTCTTTAGAGCAAAATGAAAGAACTAGAACTTTTGTGTTCAATGAAGGAAGTCTCCTTTGATGGAAATGATCTTGAAAACATGGTCCTATCACTGAGGTTAGTGATGTTAATAACTATGTAAAGCTAATTTATTACCATGATGCTCAAAACAAGATGTGAAGATCTAGTGTCTTAACAGAGATTTTAAAAATATTGTGCATTCACTAAATATTGGGTTGTCAGAAAAGTCATGACATATTTTTTTCTGTGTTTTTCGTTGCAAAAATGCGTCATGACTTTTCCGACAACCCAATATTTTAGAGTTAGAACTCATTTGGTAACTTGGAAATATTGATTTTACCCTTCAAAAGTTAGCATCTAAGCATTTGAAATGGGGCAAAAAAGCCCTAAAACTGGCCAGAGTTTATAACACTGCTCCCCTCAGATGGGGAAAGAGGGAGGTGAGCAATATTCATCAGGTGACTTTTGTTTAGTTCCCCCTCTATCTTCTCATACTGTTTGTAATTAAGAATACTTTGGTTTCGGTAAACTAGAGAACAACTAAATGCACATCAGTCTTTCTTTATAGGGAGAAGTTCCTACAAGAAGTGAATTCTCTTATTCAGAAACCCTCACACCCACTGGCTAAAACGAAGACGTTAGTGAAGAGTTTAATGAACCGAGCTGAGCTCTTGCTGCACGTCACTATTGCGGCCCAGTCCGGCCTCACCAGAAGCATCTCGGGGACCCCTGCGGAAACACCGGGTACTGCTCCAAGCCAGCCCTGCACAGGCTGTCTGTGCTAGCCTGTTCATAAAATACACATCAGCTACTTTAAAAAAAAAAATCACTCTCTGTATTCCCAAAAAGGAAGAAAAGGGAAATTTCACCATTTTTTATTTTGCCTTTTACTTTTTCCACCCAAAAAATGCTTTTCATTGAATTCATGTGGTGTCTTGTGAGTCACCCAGGCATGAGGGGTACCTCCTTCCTTTTTTCTTGGGAGCATCTTAGGAGCCCAGTGACATGTACTTTTATAATTCCTGGCCCCTTGTTTTTAGTTGATGGTTTGTCATTTTCGTAGTAACATATGTAATTATATAGTCCACACTGGGAATCTTGTAATGCATCATATTTTCCTCTTTACTTGATGCTGAGTTTGCATTTCATCTTTAGTAATTAGGTGGAAGCTTCTAGCATGAATTTCCACTATTAATTGTTTTCCTGGTCACATTTTAACTCTTAGCCTGAAAGCACTTTTCTCAGTGAAATCAATGGGCATTCTTACTTAAGCCGGATCCACACCACTGGGCATAGCCCATAGTAACAGGTGTTAATTCTTCCCCTGAGAGAACAAGTTGAATCAACATGTTCTTAAATGAAAACTCCCTGTTATCTGGACCACTGCCCAGTGGACACTGTCGAGCAAGCAAACTCACTTGCACCCCAGCCGATCACCCAGGGCTCCTTTCACTTGGGGGAGAAGTCTAGGCTGACTCCCAGCTTTCTGACCCTGGCGATCAGCCACCCCTCCTGAGGACATCAGGGAAAGTATGTGGTGTGGTCACATACCACAATGGTCTGCTACACCACATCCCTGACCACATGAGCCCTTGGTAAATTAAAGGTCCCATATAAAGACGTAACCACTCGCTAAGGCCGGTGGTGCCTTCCAAGAGGCTCTTGGTATCAGAGATGATGAACCAGTAGTTTCCTGAGAGAGAACATCATCTTCAAAAATCATGTTTTTTAGATTGAAGCTGTCTAACCGTTCTTAAGATAGATTAAAAAATGATGACCCCTTCTCCACTTTCTTAACGTCTTTGAATCTCAGCTGATCTTTACATGTTGTTTTGTCTTCTTCCATTGAAGTGTTCTTTTATAAACAACGATTTCCCTGGATGGGGTTAAGCAGTATATCTTACAGGATGTACTGTTCAGATTCTAGCTCAAGCGTGATGCTTAATCACACCAAGTGTGATCAAAGCAGAGATGTCACCAGTTGGCAGTAAGTCAGCTAAATAAATCTAGGATTAAAGGGGGAACAAAAGCCATTTCTGAAAAAAAATGGGTCTGAATTTATTTGGATTGAGAAATTTTGCTTCTAGAAATTACTTTCTCTGTCCTCTCTTGCTTTTTAGAATGCTTAAAGTGAACATTGATAGTTTATGAAATTAGATGAATTTTCAGCCTTTCTTTAGAAACCCCATTTGATAAAAAGATACCAGTTTTTCAAGTTAAGGTCATTTTTAACCTAATATCTTAGGTTTAAAAAAAAATTTGGCCTAAAAGTCATCAGCGTGCTCTGCTAGCTGGTCCTGTGGCTGAACTCACAGAAAGCAAAGGTACTCGTAATTAGAGCATTTGGTAGGTCCATGGTTAGCTGTTGCTGCTGCCCTTACAAATAGATATGTGAACCCTTTTATTCCTTTCTGATCCAGCTTGTAAATCAGCTTCTGAAACAAAGGTGATATCTCCTGCTGTGCGGCAGCCGGTTTTTCTTCGCAGCATGTCTGCTCCTTCTGACCTGGAAATGATCGGTAATGAAGATTTGGAATTTACTAGAGCAAATCAGAGGTAAGCAGCTGACGACGGCCAGGGATTCCCGCCTGCCGCGGAAGGCTCTTCACCACCACACACTCCCTGAGGGTCTCGTTTTTTTCGTAGGCGGCGCCACGTGACCAGCCACCGCAGCAGTTCCTTCACGCTCCTGCAGTCACTGGCCATCGAGGACAGCAGGGACAAGCCCACCTACAGCGTCCTGCTGGGGCAGCTGTTCGCTTTCATCGGCACCAACCCTGACCAAGCTGTAGGTCACGTTTTGGCAACTGCAGATGAGTAGCACCTGCCTGACGGCACGAGGGGCCCTGGGATAGGTGGCAGGAGTCAAGTGACTTCCTTCTTGTGCCTTTCAGGTGTCCAGCAGCAGCTTCCTGTTGGCTGCGCAGACGAGGTGGCGGCGGGGAACCACGCGCAAGCAGGCCCTGATGCACATGCGGGAGCTACTGACGGCTGCCGTGCGTGTCGGGGGCGTGACGCACCTCGTGGGGCCGGTGACCATGGTCCTTCAGGGGGGGCCCAGGTCAGTTTCTGTTAGTTCACGCTGCCCTGCCTGGAATGGGCAAAAGCCCTCCCGAGGATCGTTCCTGCGGCCAAATCACAGGCAGGGGTATTTGCTAATGGCTTCCCCTAAAATATTACATTTTTATTTTTATAGAAGTAGTGCATGATTTTGTAAAGAACTCAGCATATATTAACAGAACATAAGTCTCTTTATTGCGCTTTCCTTCCTAAATTCCATCCTGTTCATTAAGAGCTTGTTGTGTCAACTACACGTACATAAATATCTATTTAATTCTTTGTACACATAAGTGTGATGTGTGATTTATTTTTTTTACTTAATTCAGATTATATTATACATGCCTTACTGTAATCTGAGTTGTTTTGCTCTGTATGTCTTGGATGTCTCTATTTTTTCCTGTCAGTACATATAGATAGACCCGCTTTATATTATAGTTTTTAAACTTCATGGACCTCCATTGTATGGATGGCTATATTTTATTTAACTCTCCCCCTTCCTGATGGCCACACAGGTTCATTCTTTCCTTGGTCTTTCTAAACCCCTTCTGCTTTTCCTTCCTTTTTTCTGTTTTGTTTTTGCATTAACAATAGTGATTTGGTCAACATCCTTATACCTACATTTTTGTATACTCTTGTGCTTATTTTTACTGGATCAATTTCTAAAAACGTAATTGTAGATACTGACTTTGAAGAAGGTTTTATAACTTATTGGTGAGGAATTTTTTCTGTACCAGTTTCCCACGGGGCTTCAAAGAACCTCAGATAGAAAGAGAAAAGGCATTTTCCTACAAGTCCTGTACTGGAATCGCTGGAGGCGTCCTGTGCCTCCTGGCACCTCTCTGAGGAATTCTGGCCAGTGAGCTGCGGGCAGTGGCTGGAGGGAACCATGCCATTTAAGAGCTAATGCGAATATCTTGAGAAATGTCTGTGTCCATCAGGAGAGACCAGGTTATTCTTTGGAAACAAATAACTCTAAAATCTCAGTGGCTTCAAAAAACAAAATGTTTGTTCTTGTCCAGGCCCAACGCAGGTCCGTCTTGGCTCATGGTAACCCCAGAGGCCAGGATAGAGGAGGAGACTGCCGTCCCCAAAGCTGTCAGCTCTGGCCCACTGGCCAGAGCAGGCACATGCCCCCCAACCACAGGGGCACCCATAGGCCTAGTGAGAACACTAATACCACCACAGCTCACTTCCAGAGGAATGTCCCCGTACACTGGCAGCACTGTCCTTTCCTCCTCAATTACTAATGTCAGATAGCCAACATTTGAAAACATGCAGAAAATCCTGAAGCATAAAATAAAAACCACCTGCAAATGCAATCTCTTAGGGTAAAACGTATTAACATTTTAGTGTATCCCGTCTTTATTCTAACCACAGATATCATAGTGTTTTTAGTAGTTGTATCACATTCCTGAACTTTTCATTAAGCCAGTTCCTTACTTTTAAACCTTAGTTTTTACTTATTTATTTTTTGCTATTATAAACATATTATGTTGCAAATCTTTGTAGATAAATCTGGGTGGTTCCAATTCTCAACTAATAATTATTGCTATAAATCTACCTTGAGTGGTGTTTTTATGTTGGGAAAGTCTTATTTCCTATCAACTGTTGATAGATTCTCATGCTCTGTTAATAATCGGAGTGTGAACTTGAAAATGACACTTAGCTAATCTAGTTGGGCCTTGGTTTTCTCATTAGTACAATTGCATTTACGGTATTCAATGGGATACTGTAGATGTGTCTGCAAAAAATGGTTTCATTATTCAATAAGCTTGGGAAATGTTGGGTACCACTCTCTTGCTCTTAGAGATGCTGTGGACTGAACTTGAGAAGGTTCTGAGTAGTCCTGCAATGGGGAGCCCTGTTCACTTTACCTAACCTGGGGTTTCCCAGCCTTGCCTGAGTGTGGGCATTGTCCTTGAGGCACACTGAGAAATCCTGGCCAGCCGTCTCCTGTGGTCCTGCAGTTTGGGAAACGCCAGTGATCTCTGAGGTCCCTTCCATCCTGGATTCATCTAGACATGCTTGGGTTCCCCAGAAGAATGCTCCTGCTCACTGTCACTGTTCTTGACATGGTTGAGAAGCCTGAGTTTTGCTTCTGTTTCATAGGATTGAAGAACTGACCTGTGGCGGGATGGTCGAGCAGGTTCAGGAAGCCTTCGGCGAGACCATGACTTCTGTTGTGTCTTTGTGTGCACGGTACCCTATTGCATGTGCAAATAGCATCGGGCTCCTGTGTACCATACCTTATACCAGGTAAGCAAGGACGTGCTTTTTATTGTTTGTAAGTTACACCACAGTGTGGTTGATTAAATATATTTTTAATTTAAAAGTTGGATTTGTTTGCTTTGATTATCCTTTGACATTATCACTCTGATTAAATGAGCTTGCCTCCTGACACCTGAAGTTACTATGTAAATTCCTTCTTGTTGAGTTCCTACGTGATCAAAAGTGGCCGTTGGAGATCCCATTACATTGTCAGAATGGAGAGGTTTGAAGGAAAGAAAAGGGTCCCTAGGAAATTACTTACATATTTGGCAAAAATGGTTTGCATATGCGTGTTTATTTCCTCTCAATCACTTGATTAATAGTTTGAAGATATCAAGCACTTATGAAGTCATTCTTTGAATCCCCTTATGATAAAAATATACCTATTTTCTACATGGCAATTCCATCAATTTTTACTTAGCTGTTCTGTGTGCACAAACCAGAATGTGAAGCTCCTTATTTGTGAAGGAAATCCTCAGTCTAAAAAAATATTATTATGTTCAGTTATACATGGTAGCATCCTAAGTTGTAGACAGAGGACTATACCCACGTGCTTTATGTCCCTTTGATAACCTGAGTCTTACATGAGAGGTTCCTGAGGGCCAGTCAGTTATGTTGACTCCATACCCCCTCTCCGTCTGGCCCAGGAGTGAAGAGAAGTGCCTGGTACGCAGTGGTCTTGTTCAGCTCATGGACCGACTGTGTAGCCTGAGCAGTCAGACCGAGTCCAGCTCCAGCGAGAAGCAGACCAAGAAGCAGAAGGTGGCGACCATGGCCTGGGCAGCCTTCCAGGTGCTTGCCAACCGCTGTGTGGAGTGGGAAAAAGAAGAAGGTAAGAAGCAGGATTCCTCTCTAGCACTCGCTGATTTCTTCTGTTTATTATTTGTGCTTGATGGGGGAACAAAAGGCTGTGTTAAACTACAGAATCAGTGGGTTTAATCAATTAATGATTTCGTGAGAGCCTCTTCATCAGCATGGGTCTACGAAAATTTATAGCTACACTGTGACATTAAACAATAGCCTAACCTGGAGGACATGCTGCTACGTGAAATAAGCCAGACACAGAAGGACAGACACTGCATGATCTCACTTATATGTGGAATCTAAAAAAGCCAAACTCAGAAACAGAGAGGAGAACAGTGGTTTTCAGGGGGAGGGGGAAATGGGGAGATGTTGGCCAAGGACAAACTTGCAGTTCTCAGCTGAAAATGTCCTGGGATCTAATGTACAGCACGGTGATCATGGCTAGTAATACTTTATTGTATACTTGAAAGTTGCTGCAAGAGTAAATCCTAAGTATTTTTACCACACACAGAAAGAAAGGCAACTATGTGAGATGATGGCTGTGGTAACTAACTTGATGTAGTCATTTCATGATGTATGTATGTGTTAAATCACATTGTCCACCTTTTTAAAAAGTCACATTGTGCAATCTAAGTAGATACAATTTTTATTTAGCAATCATACCTCAATAAAGCTGGAGTGGGCAGGAAGGATAACCATGACTTAAGGAGTACAGTAACCCCAGGAAACAGATTTTCGTTTCCTTCTTGTCAACACTGCTAACAGTCTCCAAATAAATGTTTTTATGAAATGGTTTTTTAGTTGTGCTTTTCAAGGTGCTATTTCCCAACTGAATTTTTAAAAGTATCCAATGTTAAAAGTGTACTTCAAGGATCATTTCTCCATAATATTCCAGGTCTGCATACTAGATAGCTTGTTTATCTGTTTATTCATTCACCATGCTTTTTATTGTCTTGAGAGCCAGGCACAAGATGAATAAGACATTGCTCTTCCTCTTAAGGAATATGGTCGAGTAGGGGAAATAGACCAATGAACATATAATTACAGTGTCATCAATGCCATCATCAAGATGCATACAAAGTGCCGCGGGACATAGAGGTTTCTATAGACCAGCCGTGCTAGGGACCAGGCAAAGCTCCCCAAAGAAGGGGACATGTCAGTGACTCTTGAAGGATGATGAAGACTTCCAAGCAGAATAAACAGCGTGTGTAGACACAGGGATCCAAGAGACCATGGGACATTCAGGAAATGACAAATAGTTTTTGTGGCTTTCACAAGAGATGCTGGGAGGGACGGGGCGGGGGGCTCTGGAACTACAGTGAAAATGGAACGATCCAAACAGCTCTTTTATTGTGTTTGAGAAGAGGTGGGGTGTGAGTGAAAAACTAAAATGTTTTCCATCACAGACAGTCAAATGGTGATTTTTCCCTGTCAATCCTAGTATGTTCCTTGGTTTTGTATGGATTAATTATGTTGTATTAATTAAGAATAGTGTCTTTCCCCAACACTGAATCATTTTCCAAGTTACTGTTACCTTTTTGATGTGCAGATGTTATCTAACGAGGAGACACTAATTGGGTGGCTAATGAAATACTGAACAAGTTAAAGAGAAATGGGGCAAGGGGAGGGCTTCAATACAGGGAGGCCGAGAGGGAGGGCTGGCCACGCCTGCAGGCTCGCCACGGCTTCCCCGGGTTTTCACCAGCCTTTCTCTTTAACTCTGAAGGCGGCTCCACAGAGGCAGTGCACTCAGGCCTGGCCCGTCAGGTGTCCAGCCTCCTCACTAACCACCTTGCCCGAGCGACTGAGTGCTGTGGCAACCAGGCTGCTGGCAACGACGCTCTCCAGGATGTCCTCAGTCTCCTCAATGACCTCTCGAGGTACGGCAGGCCCAGCTGGAGCTGTGGGAGCGGGTGGCTTTCATGAACGATTGGGGTTCCTTTGGGCAGTGGTTGACTTTTGAAACATCTAAATGCCTAGGCTGCTCTGGTATGTTCCTGCCTCAGGAAAAGTAGTAGATTGGGGGAGGGAGGTTATCACTTTGTGAGGGATGAAATGTCTAACTATTACCTTGTTCTGTACACTTGAAACTAAGAATCAATAAATAAAAAATTAAAAAATTAAAAAAAATGTTTTTTAAAGAAAAAGGAAAAATAGTAGAGAATAAAGTCACTGAAAAATAGAATTTAGTTCCAAAATGGGAGGGTTATTTAAGTGAATATCTACATCATAAAATACTCTCATTTGCTTTAGTACATTACTAGTAACATCTGCTAGCTGTTCACGGCCAGTGCATTTGTATTCAATCCCCAAAAATCCTTACCCTCATTATGGCAAGATTAAAGCATAATCAGTCAGGACCTATACTGAACTCGCTTTCTCATGCTGTGTCTTTAAAAGATGTTCTGTGGAGGTTTAATCCGAATCATGTGTGAGCCACGAGGCCCACGAAAGCCTGTCCACACAAGCCTGCTTGTTGTGTGGCTTCCGCTGGACTATATGCTTTCTTCTTAGTGAAATGTCGCAGGTTCAGCTATGATGGAGCCCAGACTGCTGAGGCCAGTGCAATGCCCTGTGATATGTTTGGCCTTGAAGCACTCCTTACAAGGAGTACAAGGCTAAGCTGTAAGGGCCCGAGCCTGGGTTTCTCAGTCTTGGTGCCTGCCCTGTGAATCATGCAGGACTACAGGATCTCAAGGAAGTAAACATCGGCAATCAGAAAATATCCCCAAATCTTTCTTTTTAAGTGTTATTGGTCAATCGTGAGCTTCCATCAGATAATTGCAAAAAACCTTTATTCTCCTTCATCAAAACATAGTGCCAAACCCGTGTCTCCCTCATGAACCTGACGTCGTCAGTTTGCGTAACCTCATCTAGGGAGCGCTTGCTGCCGTTTCTGTAGCTCAGCGTGCCCAGCGTGGTGAACCTCTTCTTCCTTCTTCTCTAGGAGCCACATAGGTAAAGCCATCCTGAGCCAGCCGGCCTGTGTGTCCAAACTGCTGTCCCTGCTGCTCGACCAGCGCCCATCTCCAAAGCTGGTCCTTATCATCCTCCAGCTGTGCCGGGCGGCGCTCCCGCTCATGAGCGTGGAGGACTGTGGGAACGTGGAGCTCCCTCCGTGGAGCTACTCTGTCCCCTCCCTCAACAGCGAGCAGGAGGACCCCAGCGACCCGGCATCGAAGATCGCCTCGCTGCTCTTAGCAAAGCTGGCAGATTACGTGGTCCCAGGTGAGCCGCTTTGGACGGGAAGGTGGCACTAAGGCGCCCACTCCCTGGGGATCGTCAGACTGAACTTTCACTTGTCCCCAGAGCCAGCCATGCTTTCTGTGACAAGCGACGGAGTAGGGAGAAGGGACAGAGGGGCAGAGAGGGAGCGAGGAAAGGAGGTTTCCAAACCAGTTTTCCCTACACAGACAACCTTGCCATTTTTCTGTTTGCCAAAAGGATGTCAGACAGTTCTTTCTCCAACCGCTTCCGAACCTGATACCACATTGACGAAAACCAGTCCCAAGAATTCCTTAAAAGGAGATAAAGATCCCGGAGAAGAGAGTGAAGCAGTGGATGGCAAGCTCTCTATCTTCATCCACAAGCGGGAAGACCAATCGTCCCATGAAGTTCTCCAACCATTACTAAGGTGACGATGATTGTAATAGTTACATGTCAGCCAGCAAGCACCTCCCTGTCGCAGGCACGGTGCTGAGCAGGTCCCTTATGCACATCAGCTGTCTCAGCCCTCTTAGCAACCCTAAGGCATAATCATGGTTACTACCATTCCTGCTGTCACCCGAGGAGAAACTGAGGCTGAGCTGAGCCACAGATGCAGGCCTCTATCCACAGCTCAGCACCAAATCTGCAAACCCACCAGAGAGCGAAAGCCCTGTTGAGAATGTACTGTTTGTGTTTGATGAGAGTCTGCAGTGTGCCTTGGGCCATGAGAAGGAATGATTCAAATGGTATTACTGGCGGCCGAAGGCCGTCAGTAAATTTAAGGATACCCTGGACTGTGAGGTGGAGACAGAGAAACTTTTTTAAAGCTTTCATTCACTGAAGTATGAATGGTATGATTGCTCAACAAGGAAATAAAAATATGTACTTACTGTCCGATGGTTACAAACTTACGGGGGTGCTGTTAGTGGGCTCCAGTTCAACGGGACGGCCTGCCACAGAAGACAGAGTTTAGAGCAGGTCTTTATGCCTCAGGTGAAAGAGTCCTCTCTTCAAACAAATGATTTGATGGTGGTGTCATCCCCATCATTGGGTCCCTTGTCTGCCGTCACGGCAACTGAAAGCACTAATGGGCGACTGGCATCAACTAAGCAGGGTCAGGGCAGGTCAGTGTGCAGATGGAGAAATCCCCAAGAAACATTCCTGGGCAGTGCAAAAGGTCCTAGTACAAATTTGGTGGCAGAGGGAGCTGAGCTATTAGAAAGGAAGATCTAGTCATTCATACCAAGGCGTCAAATCCCTGTTGTTGTTACAGTCCCCTCACTTTGGGATTTAGATCACATACTGAGTGCCTCGTGTGGGCCTGCCTTTCCCTTTATTATAGATTCAGACTCTCAGTTTCGCTCAGCCCTTGAGTTTGACATCATTTTCACGAAGGTTTTTAATTATCATTAAACTCTAAAAACAGCTGTTGTTTTGATCCCTGAAAGTGCTATAATTAAGCAATAATAAATTATTTCCTTTGTGGAAAAATTGAGCGTTCTGCGGATTTTAAAAGCCTGTTGTAGCATGTAACTGTTACTGGCTTGCCTCATGGCATGCAGCCCCCACCTGTGATGGGCCTTTAAGATCGTTGTCTCTCTCTGCCTTCCCTTTTTAGTAGCTCAGAAGGACGGCCCTTCCGACTTGGTACTGGTGCCAACATGGAGAAAGTCGTGAAAATGGATCGAGACATGACCAAGGTAAGCCTAATATAGAGAAACCTGCTCTGACAAGACCCACGGTGGAAGAGCATTTGCCATGATTCGTTCAGGTTTTCACGAGAATTTTTTTTTTTTTCTTAATTCAAGTTCCTACAAAGAGGCAGGGTAGGAAATTGAAGTCAGTGGCTTAACTGAGGCCATTTTCAAGAACACTAGTCAAAATCAATTTGGCATTAATGTTAAAATGTAAAAGAGAACTCTTGGTTTTTGACCTAGAAATTTCTTCTTAGCCCTGTTAAAAATGTTTACAGCCTAAAAATACTTTAAAAGTGATAATAGCTGAAAGTCGGTTACAAGAATAATAATAGATAATAAGAAATAAAGACAAATAGCCCATCAAAACATAAAAATATGCCCAGGCTCACAAATTACACAATAGATAAATGAAGGAAAGGAATAAAAGCAACAGTAATATGTCATTTTTCACCTGTCAGACAGATTAAGTTAAGAAAGAGTGCTAAGAAACATTTGAGATCTTGCTTCCTGGCAACTGTCATCGGTTTTGGCTCAAATAAACTCTTATAAAAATTCTCTTAGAAAAAGTTGCTAATATCTGTTATTGTCAAGGTGATGGTAAAAAGGCATTCTCAAGTATCCAGAGACAGCTATGTTCTTCACAGTTCTGTTTGTAAAAAACAAAACAGTGGAACCTGTGTACCCTTAAATAGGGGGTCGGTTAAAGAAATTGTCACATGTCAATTATACCTCAACTTAAAAAAATTTTAACAATAAAATTTTCAAGAAAATTGTTATATTCATACAATGAAATACTGTACAACTATAAAAAGGAGTCAGCTAGATCTGTATATATCGATATAGAAACACATCCATGATATGTTGATAACTGGTAAAAATAAATTGAAAAGTTGTGTGTAGTGTGATTCATGATTATGTATGTCAGAATTTGCATGGAAAAAAAATCGAGAGGACCCACAGTTATCTGTGACTGGGTGAGGACATAGGATGTTTATGGGAATTTCACTTCCTACATATAATAATATTTGAATTGTTAAAAATGAGCCTGGATTGCTTTGGTAATTGGGGGAAACAGGTTTTACAAAGTGTAGTGCTAAGAGTGAAATGAATGTCGAGAATGTCTTCAAACTGCCCTCCAGGGTGGCTGCTGTGAAGTAATCACCGAAGAGGCCGCAGCTGCTCTCCGAAAAGCAACCAAGTGGGCACAGTCAGGCCTCATCGTCAGCATCGGGCCCCCTGTAGAATCAGTCAACCCAGAGACTGTGAGCGGACTGTCCACCGGAGACAAAAAGAAAACTGCCCAAACCTCCATTTGCCGAGAGAGGAACTCGGAACTTGCAAGGTAAAAACCTTGTGCAAGGTAGAACCTATCCACACCCTTCTCAGATTTACTTTGTAATGGGTTTGTCTTTCGGGTTTCCATTTTATGTCGCCCCCTTGAACTGCTGGAAATGAAGACTGAGGGCTTAAAATGCCCGTTTGGGGTTCATTTGGGGTCGTGATGAACAAATAGGGAGGCACCTCTGGCTGAGTGTGGACATCTGTAGCAGGAGGATTGCTTTTCTGAGCAGGACCACTACCAGGACACCAGCTACAGTTATTTTTGAGTATTAGTGAACTCTGGTCTTGGCCGTCTTTATTTCTTCCGAACAATACGCCCCACCCTCCCACCTGTACACATGAACTCCTTTCTAAGCATGGAAACCATGAGTGAATGTTGCCTCTGGAAGTTGGTGCAGGGTGTTCTGCGCTTGCGAGCCAGGCTAAATGCAGCGTGGTGTCGTTCCTCGCATCCCGATGGCTTACGCAATCCAAAGTTGGAGGCCCATTGCCTCAGAGGATTCTTTAGTTCCCAGAAAGAATATGAGAGAAGCGATTTCTTCCTAATGATAATTTAGCTTCTCTTTTTCTCAGTCAACGAAGTCTACTTCTTGTACAAATAGAAAATGTTTCTGTGGGATTCTAACCCTAAAAGCCAGTTCTCTGCATTCTTAGCCATTGCTGGGCCCTGACAGTTTCCCCTTCGACACTTGCAGGACCGACCCGGTCAGACCCTTCATCAGTGGGCACGTGGCCAACAGCATGGCCGCGGAAGTGATCGCCTTGCTTCATAGCTTGCTAATGGCGCCCGAGTCAAATGCCGCTCAAATATGGACCACAACGGCAGAAAAGGTTAGTACAGTGTTTACTGCTTAACTGAGAGAGCAAGAAGGAAGTTAGTGTTCTTTTGGAATCATGCCTCGCATGGAACGTTTTAGTGAAGAGAGATTTTCCAAAATGGCCAGTTACACTGGTTACCTGTTTTTCCCTGGAGTTTGCTTGGGTTGACTAGTTTCAGCTCTGCTCCCTGGCATCTCCTGTTGCTGCCAGTTCTGATTTTGCAGAAGACAGGACGGTAGTCTCAGGGAAAGAACGGCGCCCCTCGTTTCTCCTCCTTGCTTGGGTTTGGCTGGTGCCGACATTAGGAAATCACGCACCTTGGTTTATTGGATGTGTGACGAGTACTTACTAAGTCCTAGGGAGGCCTCTGTGATTGAACACTTCCTGAGTGCTCTGTCAGGAATTCATTAGTATAAAACAAACAATAGTCCAGTTTCCTGTCATCGCTTCCCCTTCCCCATAGTCATTCTTCAAAGGTGATCGGGTGTTGGGGTGTAGGCAGTATGCTGTGATGGTTTTCCTTCAGATAAGTTTTTGCTTTCTTTTAGGGGTTTTATTAACACAGTGTTTGATTCTCCCATATTTTGAGGTTGTGTATTTCCAGTTCTGTCCAATTGCCTAAGGCAAATAAGGCGGGAATGTCAGTGGCCGTGCCTGACAGTAATTCTGTCCCTCCCATATCCAGAGATGCTTCATTCCATGGGACTTGGGGCACTGTTGTAGACACCCCATCACCCTCAGTACCAAAATGACCAAAGCTTTAACTCCTCCTACACGGGCTGCTTCTTATATTTAGGTTCTGTCTCGTGCACTGATGTACATTCCACAATTGGGGAAATATGCAGAAAGCATTCTGGAAAATGGGAGCAGTAGTGGCAGAAAACTCGCCAAACTTCAGAGAATCGCCCGCCAGGCCGTCGCCGCACTGTGTGCACTTGGAGGCTTCAAAGAGACGATCAAGATAGGGTCCGAGGTGCAGGTAACCAGCCGCCAGCTCCCAAGTCATTTCTTCCCCCGTTTGGAAGCATCCATTGATTAATCAGTGATCTGTAAAACAAGTATTGTCTGCCCGGTTGGACAAAACTCCTTGTTCCTTCAAGCTAAATAAGGCAGATGAGAAACTCATGAATTCTGATCCACACTATGATACAGATTATTCAAATACTAGAACAATACTGTATAGTGTTATCTGTAAGACATGTGTCCTGTGGTGTCATTAATATTGGCAGTATTTCAGAATTGAAAGTTGGAGATTAAATCATGTTGTAATCACCTTGACATAGGGCTTGAGGACCTATTTTAACTCACGTTCAGGGCTCGGGATCTGCATGATAATAAACTATTACTGTAATGCTGATAAGGACAGCTGTAAATTTTTCTCTTCTCACTTGTCACATCAGATACTCACTTGCACTGTCTGTGTCAGGTAGCGCTAATCCACCTGTGTCTCTAGGTTTTAGGTAGAGGAATATCAGGAAGCATCGGAGTCGTGGCTTCTATCAACGAGCAGGAAGGTATAGCTACCGTCAGATTCCCACCCATAGACTGTAGAAAGACTTCTCAAGCATCAGACACGCTGACTATTCCATTGTCTAGACTCTGTGTGCCAAGATCAGAGGTAAGGTGATTTTTAAACACAACATAAAGTGTCACTGCCAGTGGTAACAGTACTGTAATGAATGATATGCACGTGCCCAGTACAGAAACACAGGTGTTTGGTTATCTTAAGTTTTACTTGTGTGTATGTATATACTGGGACAATTATTTAATAGTAACCTTCGTATGGAAATTTTCATCTAGATGTCAAAATTCAATTCTTTTGTTAGAAATATTCCGTTGTGTTGTATTTTTAACTATTTTGGTCTAGCTTGCAGTTTTCTCTGTGGTGATTTGATGTTTTTTAACTGAAATTTTGAGAACTCCAGACAACAATCATCCCCTCCTGTCTTATAAACTAATGGCTTGAATTTAACCCTCTGCCCTCAGGCGTTGCCCCTCCATAAATTGTCCATTACCGAGAAGGTAGTCCAGGCGGTCCAGTCCATGCTGCTTCCTCAGGAGGGCAGTCTCTCCATTCACACCTCACTTCCTGCAACAGGAGATGGCTCAGCTCCTGTGATGGCAGTCGTTCGGCTCCTGGCTGAAATAAGGACAAGGTGAGCACCCTCCAAAGACCCCCTGAGGTGGTGCAGGCCACCGAAGCAGGGGTACGTGGTGGGCCTCTCTACTCAGGGCTCAGTGGGGTCCCAGTGTGAAGTTCATGCCTAGATGAGTAACAGAAGCCATTCTCTCGTTTCATGTGTACTACAGTTTTTGTTGCATTTCCCCATTTCTGCAATTTTTTTTGCAGTCCCAGTTTCTGCACTTTGGAATAAAGTTTAGCTATTGTCCTAAGAAAATAATCAAAATGTGATATCTGGAAGGCATGCATAAGGCTCCACTGATTTGATTTGTTAAAAGCACTTTGTTATATCACGGGAATTCCTCCGTCATGCTGCCTTTTTTAAATGTTCAGGCCACCTTAGTACGCATCTAATCCACCACTGTCCAGCCTGGTAACGAGAAAGCTAGGGAATGCTCACAAGTATTGGCGTTGGAAAGAAAAATAGCAGTCTTTCCCTGCAAATACAGTTATTTACCATTAAACAACAGTAACACATTTCTCTTGATAATGGGACTTATCAGAAGGTTCTCATATGTATTTTGAATCAGGTGAGTGAATCAGAAAAAGACAGATTTTTCCAAGCATTTGGGTTCCTCTTGTTCCCAGAGCACTAATATTGCCCATGGAGCAGTTTAGGAAAAGCTTGTAAGGGACCCCGTGCAAAGCTGATTTCTCATCTGGCACTTCGTGTCTCCATTGAGTGGCGATGGCGACCGTTTTTCTCTTTTCTGATTCTCCATGCAGTGTCAGCAGTTACTGCATGGAAAAAGACAAGTTATATATATTTCCAAACCAATTCAGCTCGGAACAAAAAAGCAAGAGGAAGGGGGAGTTTGAACCTTGTTGTAAATTAGGGGACAAAATTGATTGAAATGTTTTTCACAGTTGACTTTTTAGAGAATGAACATTGATGACTTTGAAATATTGTAAATCTTTTAACATTAAGAGCGTGCCTGGTCATGGCCCAGCTTTTAGAAGACAGCTTGTTTTGTGAAGAATTCATACAACAGTGTCCAGCCGCTGTTGAAGTTCTTAACCTAGTAGCCCAGGAATGCAGTGCTGGTGAGTACCTACCTGTTACTTTCCTTACCACCTCATCTTATTGAGTCCCGTCAGCGCACTTACAATTTGATAATGAATGTTAACAGTTTTCATACACACGCCCGTCAAACAGCCGAGCTCTACAGACAACACTTATCACAGCTCACTTGCGTCCCAGATCTAGAAATAAAAGGCTTTCATTCAGTATATAGCAAGTAGGACATCAACATTTTTCAATTTAACTTAGGACCATGTCAGGGTGTTTGTTTTTTTTCTCCATTCATATTAATTCATTGCCTTGATTTCCCTGTTAGAACTATTTATGAACTGTCCTTGGGGCTGCATATATTTGGATTGTTGTCATTGGCTACATTTGAATTCAAAGTCAAGAGTTTGCACTAACATCGATACGTGTGTGTGTGTGTGTGTGTGTGTTTATGAAAAAGGTTAAACAAATATAAAAATAGGAAGACTAGTATAATGAACCCTACGTTTCCATCATCCAGTTTCAACGGTTATCAACTCATAGCCAATCCAGTTTCATCCATGCCTGTACCCTCCTGGATTATTTTTAAGCAGATTTTTAGATATTATTTTATCCATAAATATTTTAGTCTCTAAAGAATAAGGACTCAAAAGAAAAATAGCCACAATACCATTATCACATCTAAAAATTTAATAGTATTCTTTAATATTATTAACTATCTAGTCAGTGGTACAACTTTCTAATTTTCTCATAGTCATACTTGTTTTTACGTTTGTTTATTTGAATCAGGATCCAAATAAAGTTTATACATTTTAATTCATTACTATGTCTTTTAAATTTCTATCAAAATGTAGATTCCCCTCAGTAATTTTTTTTCCCTTGCAATTTATTTGTTGAAAGGTTTCCCACAGGCTGGATTTTGCCAATTGTATTCCTATGGTGTCATTTAATATGTCCTTTTGTCCTCAAATTTCTTGTAAATTGGTAGTTGGCCTGGTTGTTTTTAAGTGAAAATTTATGCTTTGTCCCCAAGGATACAATTGGACCCTAAATGAAATTGTTCACAATTAGATTAGCATTCCTCCAATTTCTAGTACCAGCATTTTCATAAACTATAAGGAAGAAATATCTTTAACTTCCTTAATGGTGTTAGTTGTATCTTTTTAAAATTATATTATTTACTATATCTTATGCTGTTTGCTTTTTCAGTAACTCTTTATTCTTGTTTCTGTCCTTAAATTTTTGTCCTTTTTCACGTGGTAGTGATTTCTGTTGGTTTGTGTTTGATTTTTGTCTTCATTCTATATCTGTTTTACTTCTCAAATCTCTTTCTATGAGCATAGTGCTGTGGAGCCAGGACTGTTAATAAACCTCAGAGAGACCCTAACAGTAGTGAAAAAGAACAGAGGAAAAGGAGTTTGCTAGACTTCTCGGGTGAAATTACTCGTGGCTAAACTTCTGCCCGTAATTTGGTTTTGTGCCTGTGATAGATCCTGAGTTCCCTGCCTCTGCTTTTTTCATATACTTGTCTTAGGTTGCATTTATGACATTTTTGACTCATTTTAACAAGCATATAATTTGCTGAATTAATAATCACTTGCTTTTCTATAGGAGTCTTTTTGAGTATTCTTTTTTATACATTTTATAAAATAAAAAGGTCTTAATTTGTGAAATTAACTTTGGTATTTAATGTATAGACTAGAAATTGTAGGACCTTAGAGCAGTGATCTCAAATGGTTTTGATAATAACCCACTTAACCCTTTTCTCCTAGTGGAAAAGAACTATGGTAACAAAGAGTTGGAAAGAAACATGTGGGATGTACTTATTAATTGCTACAAAAGGGAAGACTATAAGCTTATACACATTGATTTATATTCTAAAATAGTGTCCTATGTCAAGTTTAAAAGTCCTTAATAACTCACTTATTAGGTTACCAGAAAGAGCTGTGAGGTTTAAAGTAAAATATAAAGTTGCTGACTCATCAGTCATTTACCTGTTTAAAACAAAAACAAAAAACAAAAAAAGGCTGCATCTGGGTTACTTTGTAACCCAGCAGTGGGTTCTTACAGCCTACAGCCTTCTAGACTGTGCTGAGAAGAAAGGATGTTTAATAAATAAGATTCAGGTAGTGGGTAGAAGAGAAAGTTCTTTGACTTTTAATTTTAATGTGTTCATATTTTTTATTTCATATACGAAAATGTTTTAAAATTTACAGGCAGTAATATATTGATTCTCTAAAATGAAAAAAATAATTCATTGAATTTTTTTCTATTTTACTTCAACTAGGATGAATTAAGCAGCAGGTTTGGCCATTGTAATGCTAACTCCCTCATATCTAAATTTTATAGCTTCTCTAATCCAAGGGGGAAAAGTATCTAATTCCATTTGGTCTAGGAAGATAGCACTACAGAGCTCTTTCCCATGAAGAAATATTCCTGAGAGCTTAACTTGATCCCTTGGTTGTAATAGCATAGGAAACAGATTTTGAAACTGCAGAAAAGGCGTATAGACTATAAACCCAAAAAAGCCCTCAATTTTATTTTATATTCTTACAGAAGCCAGAAGCTCTCAGATTCAGCTCTTTCCTCTTCGCCCTTCTTCCTAAATATACACATTCTGAGCCAGAGTTTTTCCTCAGACTTTGAAAGTCCCTAAGAGTCTCTGGGAAGCGTGTTTAATATGCTTTCCATGCTCTATCCAAAAGTCAGAATCGTAAGTTGAGGGTGGGCCAGGACAGTTGTGATGTCAGAAGTCACTTGCAACAGCGCTCCCAGCTTTGCCCTGACTCCCCTGCTCTGACTGCCTTCTCCTGTGCTGTCACGCCTTCTGCTGTGACCAGTCTATCCCGAGATCCAGGCCTGGCGGCTGTTTCTCTTAGAAGGACCCCAGCCCATGAATACACCGATTTCTAAAGCATAGTCGTTATTTACTCTGAATAAGCCCTCCTTTCCGACTTCCCTGTGTTAGGTGATACTCAGACTATTTTTGACACTCAGACACTGAGTTTAATATGATACCCCTCCCTGTCTTTCTACATTCAGTTAGTTGCCATATCCGATTCTTCCTTTGAAATGCTCCTGAAATTTATCCCTTTCTGCCCATTTCCCCTACCAACTCCTGAACTCAGGTACGTTTCATCTCCTGTTTAGACATCTGCATTATTCTCCGAACTTGACTTTCTTGCATCTTGTCTTTTCACATTGTCATCACAGTTACTTTCCTGAAGTCCCGATTTGAATGGCTGGTTGTCAAGGGCATGGAGCTGTCACCGAGAGGCTGGCTTTCCCTTAAGCATAGTTACCTTGAAGTTGTCATTTATGGATTAGAATGAGTTTACAGCTGGTTCTGGCGGGTACTTGTCACTATGGCAAAAGTACAATTGGTCTTTTCTTTCTTGAATTTGGAGTGTAGGAGCTTTTTATTCTCACACTAGAGCCTATAAAATCTCCTCTGAATTAATTCAACCCACCTTGCGGCAAACACGCCTCAGGTTAGCCCCACTCCCATCCTCCATAAGAATGACTGTTCCCTTATTTGGTGTGATTCCACCTGTCTGCATTGAAAGAGCACCATGACTTTTAGGTCATTTTAACAAAAATAATTGCGAAGTGTTTGTCAAAAACAGCGAGGCTTTTTATGCCTGGTTAGTTTACGTTTGCGTAATGGACGCCACGAATCCTGTAACTGAATCGTTTTCCTCTGATTTGTCCATTGGGAAGCTCAGGTCTGGACTGGTGCCCTCCCAGGTGCAAGGCAAGGACAGCGGGCACACACCTTGTGGCCTGACCTCACTCCTGCCCCCCACTCTGACTTTGTTCTGTCCCTGCCTCATCTGTCCTGTCGCCTCCTAATCCACGTCATTGTATCAGGTGTCTAGTTGTAGGTTTGTTGTCAACCTTCCTTGCTAATAAATCTTCCGTGCTAAACCGTCCTAAACAAACTCTGCTTTACTTTGATTGGGCTACATTTTGCTCCTCCTAATACATCTTTTTTTGATTGAGGTATAAATGATTTACGTACCATACAGTTTACCATTTCAAAGTGCATAATTCTGTGGGTTTTCATGTATTTAGAGTTGTACAGCCATCACTAGTATATGATTCCAGAACATTTCCACGTCCATCCATAGAAAAAATACCTCCGTATCCATTAAGCAGCTATTCCCCATTACCCTCCTTCCCCCAGCCCCTGGTAACCACCAATCTACCTTCTGTCTCTCTGGATGTGCCTGTTCTGGACATTTCATATAATGGAATCATACAGTGTGTGGCCTTTTGTGTCTTTTTTTTTTTTTTCATTTAGCGCCGTGTTTTCAAGTTTCATCCATGTGGTAGCAGGTATTGGTAGTTCATTATTTTTTATGGCTGAATAACATTCCAGTATATGGATGGACCACATTTTATTTATCCATTGATCGATTTATGAATACTTGTGTTATTGGTGCTTTTTGGATGTTATGAATAATGCTGCTATATACACTCATATACAAGTTTTTGTGTGGACATATGTTTTCAATTCTGTTGCGTGTATATGGGAGTGGAATTGTTGGGTCTTATCGTGTGTGTTTAACTTTTGAGAAACTGCTCCCTTTTTTGAGGAACTGTTTTCCAAAGTGGCTGCACCATTTTCCATTCCCACCAACAGTGTATGAGTGTCCCATTTATTCCGCATCTTAGCCAGTGTATTGTCTGTCCTTTTAATTATAGCTATCCCATTCGGTGTGAAATGGTATCTCATTGTAGTTTTGATTTGCATTTTCCTAATAACTAATGTTGAGCATCTTTTCCCTGTATTTTTTGGCCATTTGTATATTTTCTTCAGAGAAATGTTTATTCGAATTCCTTGCCCATTTTTAATTGGATTATGTGTCTTTTGTTCTTGAATTATAACATTTCTTTATATATTCTAGATATACCAGTCTCTGATCAGTATGACTTATAAATATGTTCTCCCATTCTGTGGGTTGTCTTTTCACTTTCTCAAAAGTGTACTTTGAAACACAAAAGTTTGTCATTATTGTGAAGCCCAATTTATCTAGTTTTCTTTCATTCATTGCTTGTGCTTTTGGTGTCGTATCGAAGAAACCATCGCCTAATCTACAGTCATGAAAACTTACACATATATTTTCTTCTAAGAGTTTTATAATTTTAACTATAGATTTTTTTAGATCTTGGATTCATTCAAATTAATTTTTGTGTGTCATGTGAGGTACTCCTGAAACATCTGACTCGACTATTCTAGACTATTTTCATAGTGCCAAGCCACCCAGAACCCTCTTCTGTAGTTATTGAAATCCGATCTTTTCTAAGATCTACTTTATTATTTTATTTTATTTTATTTTATTTTTTTTTAGCTGAGCCATCCTGCTACCTGTTGGCAGCTCAGCGGCTGCTCAGCTCGGGCCAGGACTCGAACCGCTGTTGCTCAGAGCTCAGACTCTTGAGCGAGCTCTTAACCAACTGAGCCACTCGGCCAGCCCTCTAAGATCTACTTTAATGCTGTCTCCTTTAAGCCTTTCTGGATTCTGGAATGAAGTCATCACTCACTCATTTGCTCCCGTGTTTGTGCTTTATATCACGTAATAACACACCACAGCCTTGTACCGTGTTCTTTATTATATATGTGTATGCATGTGCGTGTCTTCTCTGTCCTCCCAGGTTGGGGACTTCAGCTCATGTATCTTTATATCCTCCAACATCTAGCACTGTGCCTTGCTCGTAGGAATTTTCAATAGGTATTAGACTTTCCCCCCCCCCACAATATTTGTTGATTGTTTATTTATCAGTTGAAACTATTCCTTAGCCCAAATATCTGTGTTTCCTAGTTCAGGAACACAGATCAGTGACAAACTTCCATGGCAATCAGCGCAAAGAAGTTCTTTACACTCTGAAATCACTTGGCACCCTGAAAGATACCAGCCTTCCTCATTTCCTCAAAACCTTTCATGGAATCATAATTTCTGTAGAAATCTGCATATGCCTTCTTCCTTGGTTCGGCCACGGCAAACTTATAGAAAGCTGCAACCCTCAGGGATACAATGATCACTCCAGTAATGTGAAATCAGACGCTTGGCCAGAAGGCCGTGCATCTGAGCTTTCGCCAAAGCGCTGGAAGGCATGGAAGCTATATTCTCCCTTAATACCAGCATCCTTCCGGATGGAGAAATGGATGACGCTCAGTATTAGATTTAAAAAAAATCAATTTGGATGGTAGTAATAGCCTTCATTTATTAGATGATAATAATAGCTTTTGTTTGAGTGTTTGCCTTGTGCAAGGGACTTAGCTAAGGCCTCTCCTTGTGTTATTTAATCTCATCTTCACAACCATTCGGTGAGGCATAAGCACTACTGTTACCCCCATGTTGGAAGTGAGACGGCAGATACTGAGTAATGGAGCCAGATTCTGAGTCTAGGCAGTCCAGCCCCAGATCCCACGCACTTGGCCACATTGCTGCGCTGCTGAGCTCAGTGTCGCAGACAAAGATGTCTCAGGGTAGCTGCCATTTCGTAAGACGGTGAATAATATCCATAAGCATTTTACTGCTTTGACCCTCCTCCTGAAGAGTCGGAGCCCTCTTGGGCTTGCAGGACTTATTTACACGTACTCGATGTATCTCCCTCCAGGAGAGCGACTGGCAGTTGTGGAGGTGCAGTGTGAACGGCTGAGGATGCTCTACCGGGACTGTGCTCGGCCCCCGCCGCCACCACTGCAGGCCGACCGGAGACAGGTGAGGCCTCTGCAGGGCACCACACCTCGTGCCATCAGCATCTGAAGGATGCTGAGCAGCACATTAACGGTATTTACAATGAGCGTTTGCAAAGCCATTGGGAGTTGTATGCTTTGCAGCGACATGCTGTCATCTTTGAATGTCAAAGCACAGTGATTTGATGTTCTGAATATTGAAAGACTAGACTAGAGGAGCAGGACTCATTAATTTGTGCATTTCTGTTATCAATAACAAAAAAAGAAAACTTTGTCGAAATTTTAAATCTGTAGTCCATCTCATAATAAATGTGTGTGTGCGTATATATATTATATATACTATATATATATAGTATATATAATATATATACTATATATATATATGGAGAGAGAGAGAGGGAGAGAATGAGAGAGTGATTTAAAAAGTAGAAGTGGCAAAATGTTAAAAATTGGCATATCTGTTAATGTACTACCAGCACTATTCATAATAGCCCCAAATGGAAACAACCTAAATATCCATCAGCTGATGAATGAATGCATAAAATGGGGCAAATCCATACAATAGAATATTATTCAGCCTTAAAAAGTAATGAAGTAGTAATATGTGCTACAATATGGATAAACCTTGAAATTATGCTAAGCAAAAGAAGTCAGTCTCAAAAGAC